CTTTCTTTCCAAATGAAGGGAAAAAGTAAATTATTCAAAATAAACTATCAACAAAGACGTGTAGATCATGCAAATAAGGTACTTTCATACACAAACTGAAAGAAGAAGCCCTCTCGGAACATTTTTTTATATAGACATTGAAGTACTTTTTTTTTCGTTTCAAGAGGGCATTTTCTTTCAGTTCGTGCCTGAATGTAACTTCTATGTATGATCTACACATCTTTATGAATAGTTAATTTTGGAGTTGATTACTTTTTGCCTTCCAGTGAAAGACTCCTACATTTTTTGCATGAAGATGGAGAGGTGGAAAGCAAAAATCTTCTTTTCCTGAAAATTATCAGTGATAGCAATCTTTTCATTGTCTGTTTGTATCGAAAACGAATTAGGGTGACTGATTATACTTGTTCTCTTTCATAAAAGTGTCCTTCATTCATATGAATGGTCCAAATCACTGCTTTTTTTTTCTGTGGTTTTCTTAAATTATTTTCCTTCACTATAATCTTACTGAGATAACTTTCTGCTCGACCTTCCGCTGTTACTGATTTATTGCACTCTTCTAGAAGGCTGCGGAGCAATTATACTTTCTACCTTATCTGTCATATTTCCAAAGAATCATTTGCTACTAATGTCATCTGACGAAGTCGTTCGAAAAGGAAATTATTTTTCTTGAGATTGTTTTTAGCTTCTGCAACAGTACCACAGTTCGTTACTATACAACTTGGCATTCTTCAATTGCCATTGTTTTGTCACTTTTCAATGTCCAACTACCACTCATTAGTTCAATCAAGTCTTGTTTCATCAAGTTCCATAGCTTTTGCTTGAATAGTAGCATCTAGACTATATATTTTCATATTAGGTAGGTAATGCGATTTAGCGTTACAGTGTTCAATTAGAAAACATCAGTTTCGACGGACAGAAAATCCTTTCTTGCCGTTTTATTTCAGTAGGGTGAATCTGTAGTTGACAATACAACTGGGTACCTACATAACCTGTTAGATAGATAGATAGATAGATAGATAGATAAATTTATTAATCTTTTAGATGTACAATAGTAATACAAATAAGATAAGTCAAATGCACAAAGTGAAATAAAAAATATAAAGTTATCGATATGAAAAATATAAAGTTATCAATATAAAACGCCTAGTTACAGTTTAGGAGTTAGCAAACATTGCATCACACAAGTAACAAATTTTTTAGAACATGTCAGCTTTAATTACTAGCCAATGGTTCGTGTTGCATTGGATAGGACAGCTATATACTCATCAGTAGAGTATACACAATTTGTTATCAAGAGATCTTTTATATATATTTTGAACATGTACTAATTTAGTTCTTTGACATGGGGAGGTAAAATATTGTAGAGGTTAACATCAATTGAATTCCTCTTCGATTTTTGTAGTCTGAATCTACTTGGCCTCAATAATTCACATCCTCTCGTGTTATAATCATGGAAATCACAATTTCTATTTTGTGTTAATTTATTTCTATGAATGTCTATCAAAAGTTGATATAAATAAATAGAAGGTACCGTCATTATTCGCAACGATAAAAAAAGAGGTTTACAGGAGTCTGAGTAACCAGCCCCACATATGATCCTCACCGCTTTTTTTTGCAAGATAAATATCCTATTTGCGTTGTTGCTGTTCCCCCACAGAATTGTCCCGTAAGATATATGAGAATGAAGATATTACTTCTTTAACTGAAAAAACTATCGACGTCTTTAAAATATTTGACAAAATTTTCATTTGAATAGGTAATACAATTCCATTGTCAAACTTGTTCATAATATTCATTCATTTGTATTATTATTGAATTCATTACTGCTGTCATCTCCAGAATTCTGAAGATTTTGATTGGTTTCCGAGTTTTGCCATGATCTTTTTTGGTTATAATCTCCAAACGTTTTAATTGTAACTGCGACAGTCATCTTTTGAGTGACGAAGCTTTATTTTGGCGCCTTTTAATGCTCTGTGCGAGATCTTTCGTAGATATAGTCTCTATTCCTTACTGTTGAAGTTCTCTTGGTGTTTGTGTATATTTATGGATTCTCAATACATTCTTGTTGAATAATAATTCGAAGTTGCTAGCCTCTCGGTATTTTCGAAAAAGATCATCTGTTCCCTGTCGGACAATGGATGTTCAGCGACTTCATACTTCTCGGTTTGTCCCAATCGGCAACTCCGCTTGTGCTTAACTAGGCGGGTACCAATGCTCATTTTCTTCAGACGAAAATTAAAATTTTCAATGTACAAACTATGAGAAAAGTGAAAAACACGTAAGTGAAGACATTCAACACCGAGAAATTTCAACGCAACGTTGATTGAAATAATGATACATTGAACACAAGCAAATACTTTTGAAATCTCATAATGATGCCAGTCATTTTATTCACTAAATTCAAATATATTCGATACTGAAAAATATATTTTCATAAATCTGAACTCTTGTTATAGCGATGCACATGGGTGCACAGTACTTTCGTTGAGTGCGAAAACACCAACAACGTCGACAGAATAAGAAATGAGATTGGCCAGTGGCAAAAGCCAGAAAAATTGAAGAATTTGTTATTTGACGTTATTCCATTTGCGCATTGTATCTTTCTTCAATGGTGTTTGGTGACTTCACTAGAAAACAATTCGCCAAATAGAAGATAGATGAACCGATTCAACGAATGAATCAATCTCGTTTAGAAGTTGAAATAAATTCATGTAATTTGAAATCTGAGTTCTAATCTAGTTGTTAGAATCAAGTTTGATTGTGAAATATATATTTGTGTACGATATACTTGCATAGAATTTAATTGTTTCCAATTCCAATTTTGGCGGGTTGGCTGTCCTTGTTCATCTTTCACTGCCTGAATCACTGTGCATTCTATTTTTGGCGAGTGGATTTTCTTGGGATATGGAGGTTGAGCAAACCGGCCATCGGATGCCTGCTTTCATGTAGTTCTGCTGGATACGGAAATGACAGAATCACTTGTAGTTCTGTTATTTCTTAACTGAATGGCATCCCAATAATGTCTCATTCTTAAGGTGTATGTATCCGTGCCAAGAGGATGAATGACACTGAGCCTATCAAGCTGTCTCTACGGAACCTTCGAGATACCGGGCGCTCTCTCGTCATAGTATCGCCTTGTCACGGTAACGCGGGGCTCTGCCGTGATTGACCTTCTTTCTCTATCTACTCGTGGGACTTTTATGACCTTCCTGTAAATTTAGATCAGGAGCGAGCCTACAGAGGAGATGGATGTCAAGCTTACGACTCCAACTGACCTTCCTGTAAATTCAGATCAGAAGCGAAATCTTCTCAACTGTCCAACTCCTGATCCAATAACTGGACTTGAAAAAAAAATTGGTGGTGCAGCCAGGAAACGACTGAGTCGTCACCTCAAGAGCGGGGTACCTCATGAAACCGCCTTGCACCAAATTCTTGAGCGGCGTATGCAGAATCTGTTCCAGGTGGAGGAACAAACCCCCCATGAGCAGGTGAGGTTAAGTGGAAGAGCAATTGAATGATGACTTTTCATCATATAAATTGAACTTTATCCTCATTTAATAAATGAACTGTTCCTGATTTATTTGCTTTAAATGTATTAGAAGATAATGCAGATGATATTATCATTATTATTATGTTAACAAAAGTTTGCGCTCAAGACTACAGAGGAGATGGATGTCAAGCTTACGACTCCAACTGACCTTCCTGTGAATTCAGATCAGAAGCGAAATCTTCTCAACTCTCCAACTCCTGATCCAATAACTGGACTTGAAAAAAAAATTGGTGGTGCAGCCAGGAAACGACTGAGTCATCACCTCAAGAGCGGGGTACCTTATGAAACCGCCTTGCACCAAATTCTTGAGCGGCATATGCAGAATCTGTTCCAGGTGGAGAAACAAACCCCCCATGAGCAGGTGAGGTTAAGTGGAAGAGCAATTGAATGATGACTTTTCATCATATAAATTGCCTTTTATCCTCATATAATATATGAACTGTTCCTGATTTATTTGCTTTAAATGTATTAGAAGATAATGCAGATGATATTATCATTATTATTATGTTAACAAAAGTTTGCGCTCAAGTGATGATTCACCAAAACCAGAGGCGAAAAAGCCCTGCACGGTTGAATCTGAGGCATCGTTAGGTGTAGCTGACGTGCAAAAACCCTCATATGGGAAGGTTGTCGTGGGTATCAAGGTGGGAATTCTGCACCTTGATTATCCGACTACCTCATTAACGATGGAATAGCAGAGCATATACTTTGTGCCAGCCCCGCTGAGGACCAAATTAGGTTTTTAGAGTTTGGCAGAGCCGTACTCTTACCATTTGACCTGAAAGACCACTCACCATACAAACTAAATGGCTTCGTTAAGAAGCTGAGTTTATTTGGTCAAGTGTGAATAGGTGTGAGCCACAATAAATCCTTGCGGGTTGCGGTGGAGGGTCGAATAGACCCACTCATTTTGGACCTTACCTAACATAACCTACTTTCAATTTTTATCATCATTCTTCGAAGGTTTAGATTCTGGTATATCGATAGGAAATTAAGAAACCAAAAACATCCTAAAATAATATCTTTTCGTTCTCATGGAATCATTTCTGTTCTAGTCATCTGATATTTCAACTGAATCACTTGAGAACTATATCTCTATTTGTATGAAGTGAGTTTCATAGATGATAGACTACGTGGTATTCAAATCATACATTTCCTAGTCATGTTTATTGAATTTTCACAGTATAGATTTCACTTAGGACGCGTTAGTGTTTCATCAGTAGGACTGACCTTTCTTAGAAAAATAACTTTTGAAGGTCATTCAGTGATTTTCCCCGCTTTTTCTCTATACATCTATGATAATTGCAGAAAATATTCATTAAATTTAATCACTTTTGGATAAAATTGTAATATTTTTTCTATATCTTGATAAATTTAAAACACGAACTCATATCTCTCTGAAATATAAATATTTCATCTTTATTCGACTGAATGTGCATGCTCGACTCACCTTGTATTGGTACTATTACTGTGATGGCTAGTACTCCCGCGATACCAGCATATCCAACTTCCTTAAATATGAGACTGATTATTATTATTGCTGAAACTGGACAGATCCATATATCATGAAGAATGAGAGAAGCTGAATCAAATCGTGAAACATCGTTAGACAAAAGGTTGACGATTTTGCCAACTGGATTATGACCCATGGAAGATTTGTTCAGTTTCAAGGCCTGAAAAATAATTATTATTGGATGTGAACCTACTCAAATTACCAGAAGTATTGTGATGAAGAAACCAAACTTATGTGCCCTAGATCGTCACAAATATCATTCATTTCCGAATATTCAGTTACATCAAATGCTTTCGAAGATCGACCAGTATCACTGGCTGAAGAACTGGCTGAAGGATACTGGAGCACGTTCTAGTACTACAGAAACTCTCAGTACCTAATGATATTTAATACTCTAGCCAATCACGAATCGAACTGACAAACATTAGTGACTCTTTCATGAAATTATCTCATATTCATGTGCAAAGATTCTCCAGTCGATTTGTTTTTGAAAACATATGAATAGCTATTTTATGGTTACGGAGTAACCATAAAATAGCTATTTTATCAAGAACTAGTACTATGTTGCTGTATCACTGCTGTTCCAATGTTTTGACAGAATCAGAATCAACGAACTTAGGCGTGCGCAGCGTTATAGAACAGTGCTTTCAAAAAATTGTTCTACATCGCCATCTAGTGGCAGGTTACAAAAAAACTGATAGCCAAAAACCTTCTCTATGAAAAATTACTTATACATGTCAAGTTTCATCACGATCGGTTGAGCGATGTAGAAGTTTATCACTTACCAACCAACCAACCAACAAACATCCATTTTCATATATTAGATAAGCTTTCAAAACTTCATCAATTAACCAAGTACCGAAGAAAATTTGTTCTCCTTCACGAATGTGGATGCATGTGTGTATGCCAATTTTGATGTCTATATCACCTAACTGGTTTTGTTTATTATGGAAGAGTACTGAATATGTTTTTTCTGCATTTTCCTACGTTGAAACGTCAGACCCCCTAGTCATCGTCGCCGTCGTCTCATTCCCATAAGAATTTTTGTCGTGTTGTATTTCTAATTATCCATGATCAATTGCAAAATCAGCAGCGCTACATACGGCAATTCGTTCTTCATAAACAACGATTTTTTTCAACCGACAACATCGCAGAAACACATACACACAAACCGTACGTTATCTTTAAAACGGATCATCTCGATACAATCTCCATCTCTCTCACAGGTCAAATCGTCATTTCACACCTCTTATGGAACTTGAATTTTCCGCTGTGCGCGCGAAAGGTTCCGTTTGGAGGTTCAAAATGACTGAAGCCAAAAAAAAACATAGGATTTTGTCCTAGAAATGACAAAGGAATCGCTGACTCCATGCTCTCTCTAAAATACTCTGCTGTTACCCACTGCTTTAATCCAAGCTTATCAAAGAACCGCTGACCTTATCACAACCATCATTTCACATTCACTCACAAAATTCCACGTTGAACCTCTTGAGCAAATCTGGATCGTCGTTAATGTCATTCAACAATTTCCGAGCGATTTTGAAACGGAATTCGCTGTCACACGCTTCATGCCTAAAAATTCAGAAAAAAAATTGCATGGCATGACCCAACCGATATACCGACATCTTCAGCAAATTCTCTAATAGTGATTCGACGATTCTCCATAACAATTTCGTTCCTCAAAATTTTCATCGGTTGTTGATGCGTTGGGCATCCAGACCAAATATCGTCATTTACATTGGGGACACCTAATGCATCATAATGTACAGGATAGAAATCGTAGTAGACAGAAATTTACTTCGTCATAACGTCAAACGATAGAAATCGCAATTGATCACATAATACAAGATAATGTACAGTTTCATAACGTAAACCATCATAAAATACTTCATTATAACATACTTTTTCATAACGTACTTAGCCATAACGCTGAAGCATCATAATATCATTCAATCATAAACACAATGCCTCATAAAATAATTCCATCGTAACAGCAACGCATCATAATATAAAACGATCATATTCGTAATCGCTAGAAACCGTAACGCGTCATAACGTATTTCACCACAACGTAAAACATCATAACGTAAAGTATCATAACATAAATTACTGAAATTTTATCCCAATACCAAATCGTTATTTTAACACCTCGATAGGTGTTTCGATCACCAAGTGATCATCTTCACTTCAATTTTCCTCGGGAAAATGATCACTTGGTGAACGAAACACGTGTCGAGGTGTTGAAATAACGGTTTGTTGTTGGGATAAAACGCCAGTAATATTCATTACTACACCAAAGACTCCAAACAGAGCATTACAAATATCACAACGAACTTTAAAAAAAACTAATCAATTCAGTTTATTGTATGATTCATAGTGAAAATCATACAATAAACTGTATTGATTAGTTTTTCAATATGGATTTTGATCAAGTATCGGCTAGTTCTATTCAATTACAACGAACTTTGTCATAATCCTAAGGTCCATGCGCTTGCTTATACTATGTGTCAATAATAGCGGAAGTTTATTGTATGATTTTCATTATAAAGGCTTTTACAAAAACCGCGACACATGTTTCACTATACAAATTCCGATAGCAAACATGGAAGTCAACCACTAAGGTGAGTGTGGGAGATTTTTGTCATAGCCGATATACATGTGTATATATATTTCAATACTATACAGTCCACGGTTCATGAATTCTCGCCCAGTGAATGATTTTATGAATCATTTCTATAAAGTTCAACGAATAATCACAGAGATGTAATTTTTGTATTGATTTATTCGAAAGTTTTGAACATTTAAATTAGAAAAATATATTTTTATTGCCAGAATAATTATTATTCTATTGTTTTTTATCATTCTTACATAAGACTCGCTATTGTAAGTATATTTGCAAGCACTTTAGCTTCGAAAGTAGCAAAAAATTTCAGTAGTGATTCATAAAGATAATTGAAAGCCTTCATTGCAATACTGAACAGCATTATAATCAAGAACTCTTTTGTCTTCGAAATCATCATCAGGTTTAGCTTTATTCAGAATATTACGAATAATCAGCCACACGAATTATCAGAACAACATAATCTTTTTTTCATTGTTAGTAACATGTTATTGTGACCATTTGTTCATTGGGAACATGTGACATTTTTTTTTCTCCATTATACAATAAAATATTTTCTTCTCCATGCAAGTATTATTTATTTCATTGTATGAACTATTGTTATGTTGTTCTTCTTCTATTGTATAATTTCAAATAATTAGCTGATGATGATCCTTTATAGGTTCGAAACATATACTGATCGATGGTTTAACCGTTCTAAATTGTGGAGACGATTTTGAGTCTTTATTCTTCGCAAATCTACTGCACTCCACTTTAGATATAATGGACTACCAGAGATTATGCCTACTGTCAATCACGAACTGCATCATACAGAATTTCTCCCGAGTAGAGAGGACTGGATTCTTTGGGGAAAGGAAATATTACGAGCAGATAGTTGTTGGTTCATAGATGGATCAAAAACACCTTTAGGCTCCGTTGCAGGTGTTTTCAGTTGCAGACACAGGACAGAGATATCAATCTACCTAGAAACATATGTGACTGTATTTCAAGCGTAAATCTATGCTATTGAATTGTAGGCAGAGAGTTTGTAAAATACCTCACACACAGGATATAGAAAATATTCTCGGACACACTGGCCTGGAAGACAATGAGGCTGCTGATTCCCTTGCAAAGGAGGGTGCTGCAAGTAGCTTCATCGGACCAGAACCTGTCAATGGCATCGCTTTAGATTCATTCAAATAAATATTAAACACCTGGATGGCAAGAAGATTTAAAGGCCTCTGGCAAAATCTTCCAGGATCGGCTCACTGCGAAGCGTTCACCCACCCTTGGAAGCTTGAAACCAAACAGTTGTTGAGCTACAGTAGGGATAAACTAAGGTGTCTAACAGGCCTCCTCACAGATTACTATCGTCTGAATCATCATATGCAGAGACTCGGACTGTCGAAAGACAGTGTGTGTTGCCTCTGTGTAGAAAATGATGAAACAGCAGAGCATATACTCTGTGCCTGCCCCGCTGCGAACCGAATCAGGTTTTCAGAGTTTGGCAGAAGCACACTCTTACCATCTGACTTGAAAGATCACTCACCATATACACTAATCGGCTTCATTATGAAGCTAGGTTCATTTGGTCGAGTTTGAATAGGTGTGAGACACAATAAACCCTTGCGGGTTGCGGCAGACAGTCGAATAGACCCGCTCACTTTTGACCTAACATAACCTTTATGCATAAAAAGACTATTCAGCTATTACAAAATTTTACAGCGAATAACTGCACAATTTCGTGATAGTAGGCACTAAATTCTCTGAAATATTATTGCACTAAAATGAGAATATTGTTGTCAAGGTTGTGATTCTATATGCGTGCAATCCCATAATATATATTATATACGTCATTCACACATATTTTGATCGACTAAACTTGGTGTATTCCGTATATGAAACATGAATATTGACATATTTATAACCAATATTTTGTCAATTTCCCTTTTTTCGATTACATTTTAACTTGTATCTTCTTTTCAATATCGAATAAGATTTTGAATCATACCACACTATTCTACTGGCACACTTGAAATCTTGATATTCACACCGAGTTGACTCACCTTCTGATATATGAGGGATCCAACTGCAATTCTGACTTTCATCCCGATATGAGATCCATACATTTTGTACTGTCCATCAAAAAACAAATAACTAATTCTCAGTAATACTATTCCTGTTGCATAAAAATAGGCATCATATTTAGTGAGGGAGTTATTAGGATTATAATATCCCAACATCAAACCAAGAAGAAACGGCTGGCTGATGCGGATGAACACGTCACAAATTCCAGCAAGTATTCCCAGTTTTGCATACTCCAACCAGAATGTTCGAAAAAGAGCAACAAGTAAGCTACATGTTGGTTTCGAATTGTTTCGAGTTACACTAGTTTCCTGTATCCGGTTTCTGGAAAAAATAATACATTTGAGTGAATTCGTTTTTTCAAATCTATACATACGTACCGTTGAAGTCTATTTGACAGAACTGCACTTCGGTCGCAACTGAGTGGACTGTATAAATCATCATTGCTCAGGGATTTTCTTGAACCTTTATTGAAGATAGGTAAAGTGAATCTGGGAAAAAATAAGTTGATTGATAGAAATGTATGTTTTTGAGCACAGTGCACAAAATTTGAATAAAGCAAATATATACATGAAAGTATACATATGAGGATGCATGTTTATATACCATTGAATGAATAGCCAAACAATATAAAATTTATCACATCAGAGCTTCTTTGCGAAATTTTTGGAGGAAAAAGTACGTTCTTTCCTAAGAAACTCTCTGAAATGGTCTCTGAATGTTTTATATGGGGTTATTTCTCTGAATTTCCAGGGAATGTGATTGTATACCTATTTGCTTTCATGCTTCCAGTATTGAATTTTAATATAGAGAGATTTTGGGATATGTAGTTTGTTATTTACTGCACATTATGGAATAATATTCATTACCATTTTTTTAACGAATCCCCCTGGACTACAGTGTTTTGTGCCCATTATTATATTCATTATTGATGACTATGAATTCAATCCAGACGCCATCTCTCAAAACTCATGCTGACACTGATTTAATTTCGAATGTCATATTCAATATTATTGGCTATGAATTTAATTCAAATGATATCTCTCAAACCTTTCTTAGACATATTCTCATACATAAATTATCATTGCTCACTTATATTTCATTTCAGAGTTCAACTTAACTGACCGCTATTTTATTTCACATCTTATCTAAACGTCACAAACCCTTTTCTTAAAATTTCAATGATTTGTAGACCCAACTCCAGTTGAAATCCAAACCCTTGTGAAGTTGTTACCTGCTGGTAAATAAATCAAACAAGACATAGAAAAAATCGATTATTCTTCATTTGTGGGTGTTATTGAAACCACAAAAGTGATTCAACAAAGCTATTTGATCTGATTTCACCACACGGATAGACTTTGATATATCAACAAACGCTTTGAACTTAAGATAACTGACGCAGTCGGTAGGATCACCACAGAAGCAATGTGAGCAACACGCGCGAAATTCAACCAGCAGAGAATCCAAGGGTCCCACAGAAACTTCATCACCAACCACAGTGTACAAGTAGAGGACTGAAAAATCTCTCACAGCACACAGGGCTGATATTTGGACCGGATATTGGGGAGGCATTCAACAACCTTTTCAGGCGACCGAATATTCCTGAACTAGTTTCACAGAAACAAGAAGAAGCAGAGAAACAGAAAACTATTCCTATTCTTAATTTTTCCTCATATATTTACTCCTCATTCAGAGAAGCTCAGTTGTTCTGCTAGTGAGTTATAGTAACTGATATTTCATGTACCGTGATTTGCAAAAGCTGGCAATAGAACATACAGAGTTAATCGAAATCTCTTTCAGAGGAAACTCCTAACAACTTTGGTATTAGATGTCAATATAAGAGAAGTCTAGTTTTTTCAGAGAATGTGAACTTTCTTGACCGGAGATAAGTTTGTTGAGTTCGTTGATCGTGACCTGGTTTTTGAGCCTGACGTTTCGTCCACAACTGCGGTTGACATTATAAAAAGCGATGAGGTAACGCACGCAGTGATTTCGTTGTTTCCCTAGTATATACTAATGTGTACGGTATCTGTGTTTCTGGTTTTACTTCACCGGTTTTGGCCGTGGCCTCATTCCTTTTACATTAGTTGAATGATCTGATTTGTGTGCGGTTTGGGGCAGATTGCCAGATTTTATTATTGTACCTTCTGATAGATTTTGCTGAACTGAACATTGGTATTAAGTAATATTTTTTCGAAATTATCTCCAGTTCTTAAATTTTTCATCGAAAAGTTACCATTGATGGGTCTGGCTGGAGTTACTTTGGTGACCTTTTTCTGATTCATATCATCCACTCGAATTTGCCTTCGCTTCATCCATTTCTTTAGAAAGCATTTTCCAGATAATTGAGCTCCAAAGGAAGATATTTCAGTTTACAGATGCGTCGTGCCCTCACAGGTACCTGTGATGGTTCAGAATTCAATAATCTGTTTTTTCAATTTTTCCAAAATTATAAGATGAATAGTCATTCAGTTCATTTGACAACTCTCTTATTATGGAATCGTCACTGAACATTTCAATTGAAAACCTTTTGAAATGACCCAGAAGGAAATGTATATGAATACGTCGAAGACCAAGAACCAAATTTGAAAAAAACTGTGACAATATGAATTGAGATCTGGAATGAAACGAAACAAAAAAACAACGGATAATTACTGGAAGAAATGATCAAAAATATATAAATAAAGGTAGTAAAGGTAACTTCAACTAATTCTCTGATTACCTTGATGAAGCGATAAAATAGTAGTAGAACCTAACTGATTGAACACTTGGATTGTACTTAAGATGCACTACTTGGATTGTGCAACTCAATTGTGTACGCAGATTTCAAATTAGTCTCATCCAAATAATATAATGGCTTAGGATTAATATTAGTAAATAATGATAACTTCATATGCATATGTCAGTCAAGAATATGAATGTTGCAATAATTCATTTATTCAGCATTATTAGAATAGTATGATAATTATGGAAAGTATATTTTTCGATACACTGAATTTTTTTAAAGTTTTCATATTTTTATACTGGAAGGAAGAAAATTGAATGATTTAGGTGTGGTATATATTAAACATCTGTGAACTATATTTTTGTTGCAGTTGAGAATTCTCAAGTGACATTTTGTAGCACTTCTAGTTCTATAGTCATGTGAAAGATGATTATTATGCTGGTATTTGTAAGCATGTATACATATGCTATGAAAATATAAAGATCTTATATCACCAACATCTTCATTTTCAGAATGAAATTTTGTATGACATTTACTTTTTGTAGTGCATTTTTGTACATTCCACCCCATAGGTACTAGAATATCATGACGAAAAAGTGATTCAGCAAATAATTTGTAAATTGATGAAAGGAGATTTTCAGAAAGAACCTCTCGTAATTGATGAAATGTAATCAACAAAATTGAACAAACTGAGAAAAAACAATAGAAAAATGGAATGCAAAAATTATTGAATGAGAAATTATCTTTTTCTACCTATCAATATTTAATTATAATCATCATAAATATGCATACATCTTCATATTATTTGAATATTTCAAAAATATTCAGACAGGCAACTAATCATTATTGGTAAAAACGTAACGTGAGCTATTAATCATATCTGATGATAAGATAAACAGATATAATATCTATGCAAGCTGATCACCAATTATCAACAACCAATTCATATGTTATATCCAAACGCGCATTGATGAATCTTGATGTGAAATTATCAAAATGGTTATTTGGTATTCTCGACAATGATGATGAAGAAATAATTGATACAATTCTCGATTATTTGAATGGAAAGGATCACTTACTATGAGAGGCAATAGTCGAATATTTACGGCAAATGAAACCATGGAACAAACTAATATAAAAATCAAATTGACAATACAGTCTAAGAATATATCAATAGAAAAACTGTTTTTCATTTACTTTTTGACTCTTCGATCAATCTTCAAAACCGACTAAATCAGGTAAAAATATTGGCAAATATCAGAGTTCATTCATCATTTTTCTCATTGGAAAATCTGAATTCAATTGAGAATGAAATGTATATTCCGAAGTCAAATAGTACATCAAAAATCAATATAGTTACTATGACATTTTTGGGGATACAACTAATGTTTTTTGATGGAATAAATATTTTTCTAACACATTTCCCAATATTGAGTTCTATATTGAACGAAACTATTATTGTTTATCTCATTCCACTTCGAAATTGAATTATTATCTACCATATCCTGTATGAGATGAATGACTTTTATCTATACCAAAAACATACATGTACCCTAATTGAATTTTTTTTTTGCTGCCACAACAAACTTCAAACAGGAGAAGATTGCCTAGTCAACATTATTCTGCACAATGATGTAAATTACTGTACAACCATCATAATTCACTTTTTCAGACCCAGTGACATTCAAGTGACACAAGAAAAAGTCATTTTCACGACATCTTTCAGTACCATTATAACCGAGAGTTGCACAATTGAGACACACCACAGAATACAAACTGTTACTTCATCACTATCCCAACAGGGATTATTGGGAGATAATATATAAAGAGAAATATACATGGAGACGATGAATTATCCTCTATGACACTAATCAAACTTCAATCACTAAACAGTTTCACTCTCTCTAGAAGCGCTTTCAAAGGGTAGCTCAGTAACATGATATCATCACATACCACCCTCACAACCTTATCCAATATCTTAGAAGATGACAACCTCACAAGAGCACTTCACTTCACTTATTTCATGCCCATTCAGTATTTATATGACCTGATTCACAAGTTCATCTTCAATATTGTTACCACGAAGGTAATCCAAACGTAATCACTCAAAACTTGAGTTGATACTGATTTAGTTCCGAATTTGATCTTCAATGACTATTAATTAATTCCAGACGGTATCTCTTCAAACTTGCTTGAACATATTTCCATTCCTAAATTATCATTGCTCACTTGTAGTTTATTTCAGGAGTCATCTTTGCTTTGCCCGAGATCCCGCGTGAATTGATTTCCAATGAAATAGGCACACATATTCCATAATAAAAGTACATGTGACTTTCACAATTATTTCTATCACGAAATAGATGAACCCTTCAATTTAGCAGATCCCTATTATAATCTTCATGCAGTCATTGTTCACTATGGTTCTAGCGTTGAATCTGTTCAGTATTACGCCTTGGTCAAAGACGAAACGGACTGATTTAAGTTTGACAATAGTCGTGTCACTAAGTGTTCTGGCGATGTTTTGAATCTACTAGAGCCTCTGAAGACACTTTACTTTTGTTTTATGTAAAAGAGGACATTGGCAGATCAAGCTTTTCAGATGATGTGGTGCTCTAGTTTTTTCCGGGTTTTCCTGCAGCTTAAAAAGCAAATGCGCCACTGGAATCAATGAAGTCGTCCCAAAGCGCCAATTAATTTCTGTTGTTGTTTTATAATTTCATGATTTGTATTGAAAAGTTATTCGTTTTCGGCATCACTGAAAGTTAT